TCTCTCTCTCTCTCTCTCTCTCTCTCTCTCTCTCTCTCTCCCACCCATCCTTATTCACACTCCTCCTAAACATCGGAGGATTTTCTGAGAGTAGGACACTTAATCAATATTTATTTGATTTAGTTTCAGATTAGAAAACTTAAGTTTTTAAAGCATCTTTAAAAACGTTTTTTTTTTCTTTCTTTTTTTCTTTCTTTATTTTTAAAACTTTGAGAAAGAAAAAAAAAGAGGGAGGGGAAGGGATGAGGTTTAATAATAAAATCTCCCCCATGGAAAGAAGAGGCAAGTGTAAATGATGTCAATACATGTAGACTTTTACAACCCAGGAATGGACCACTATTTAAAAAATAAATATTCCTGACCTCCCCCCCCCTCCCCGCCCCCGATGTCTTTCGTTTGTAATAGAATTATATACAGCTCTTTTCTTGGAGTCACGACGCGATGAAATCATACGCACTTTAATTTTTGGACAAGTGGAATTTTTGATATTATGTCAAAGACTGTTTATTTGTCAATCTTTCGATAAAAATATCCAGGTATCTTTAACAGAGGTCGAAATATTTGCAATTTAAGGAGGTGGGGGTTGCCTTTTTAAAAAGAAAATGGTCACCAAAGTTTGGTGACGTCCATAGCTTGAGAGTCTTTGGAAACTGAACATTTACATTTTTTATGCCTTTAATCAACGTTTTCCCCAGTAAAATCAACATATAAACGTGTTTTTAAATGAACTTTCAAGGCTTTGAACCCCTCCCCCTCCCAAAAAGGAGAAAAAAAATCCTTTAAAATTTTCAAACAGGCGGGAAAATGACGTTTTTCGTTTTCGATTTTTCGATTTCATCATTTTGATGAGCACATGATTCCACAACGATGCCTCACATAATAATATGCGAGGCAGCGTGGTGGAATCAGGCTCTCGACAATTTTTGGGCATATAGAGTTATCGGTATCACCTTAAAGCTTGTTCACTTGTCTTTATTTGGATGGAAAAAAATATCCATTTATCTTGAATACAAGTCGAGATATTTGCGAAAGAAGGATGTGGGGGTCACTTGTTTTCAGAGGTAAAATTAGTGAGAAAATGGCCGCCAAAGATTAGTTATTTCCTTAGCTAAAGAGTCCGTGGTAACTAAATATTTACATTTTAGTTGCCTTTAATCAACGTTTATTAAAGGAAAATCTGCAAAGAAATGAGTACTTTAATGGGCATGAAAGGTGTTCAGCCAAAAAAAAAAACGTTTTTAAAATTGATAAAAATTCACAAACCTGCGGAAAAATGCAAGTTTCTTCACTTTGATAATGTTAACGAGAGCCTGATTCCACAACAATGCCTCACATAATAATATAGTTTTGCTTTTCTGACCCAGTGACCATCTACTGGGGTAGATTCCGTGCCCTTAGGCCTGCCGATATGATTGAGTATTTACAGTGTATTTATCAGCTGCATTTTGTTGCTGTTTTGTTGTCTTTCTGACATCAAGGGTAAATCGTCCTTGAGGGGGATTTTGAATTTAATCCCCCC